TACTAATTTAATATCTGCTTACTTATTAATATATTTTTTCATTACCCTGTTAATACTATTTCATCCAAATTATTTAACTCCAGGATGGATTTTTTGCTGAATGAATAACTTGATAATTAGATTACTATCTTTGCTAAGCCGAGTATTATACGAAATTGGATTTTTCATTGGATAGGGGAGTTGTACGACCGTTAAGGTTTCGTGACTATAAAATGAAGCACAGGTTCTCGTGCACAATTTCTTACGAAACAGTGATAAACATTACAATTTTTTTCAGATTCATTATGTTCGTTGTGATTGTCAAACACAATTTATGAAGGTATTTCCCTGTTACCGTTTATTGATTACGTTCTTCACATCTTATTTGCAGATTGACTACAACTTTCTTTTATATTTTGAATAAATAGAGAAATTAAATGTTAATCAATTTCTAGAAGACACTTGTCTTTATTAATTGTCAGTATAGGATAGGCAATATTTACATTTTTTATACGAATGTTACTGCGGTGATTAAAATTAATACTAAACTAAAAGGAGTGATTGCACAAAAAAAGAAACGCTGTATGTGATACATTAAAGTATAAAAAATATCAAAAGTATATGCATATTAAAAATCATAATTGAGACCGTGTTTCATAATACTTTACCTTGTTATTTTCTTCTTTAATTCTGATAGAATAATCTCGACGAAATAAAGCTATCGGCGTACATGCATTTCAAACACTGTTAGATTGGTTTAAGCATACCAAATAGATGTGAGACACGTGTACGAAGTTAGAGAATTTATAACGTTGTTCTCCCCACGTTTATAGTTTAAATTTGCAGAAGCGTGTCTTCCTGCACGCTAGCTTTGGTGCATGCACTATCCTCGAACAGCAATTTACGAGAAGCTGACGACATATCACGTGAAGATTTTGCAGTAGCCTGTCTCGTACTTACAAGAAGAAGAAATGATCGTAAGTGGATCATGAATATTCACAGGATTCACGAATGTGTTTTATCGAACACGTGCTCTACGAAGTTATCTGTTATTCCTAATGCGAGCCTAATCACTGACTTCTTTACAATTTATTTACATCGCTGATCGTGAAGAGCATTAAAATTTTATAATGTTACTGTTCAAGTTTAAGGCAATCGGAATTGCTTTTGAAGAGAAAGGTCAGACAGTAGGTTACATTATATACAGGATGGGCACATAAATGAAACTAATTTACTTGCACTGTTTTATCAATAACCAGGCAAAAACAATGCAAAATATGGATTGACGGGAATATACTGTCTGTCCTTATATGAGAATATTTTTCGGTCGTCAGGTACCTCTTCAGAAAGAGGAAAATCAAACCTCGCGCTGTCTGGTCATTATTTCAATCGAAACAATCTGTTTTGGATATAAAATCGCTTATAAGTAGAGACATTAGTAACTACGATTTTTCGTCCATATTATAACACTCATTTGACTAAATCTCAGCATATTCTGATTAAATCACGACCAGACCGTGCCAGATTTGACTAAAGGATATAAGGACGAAAAGTCTATTTCCATAAACTCATATTTTTGGTTAATTTTGTGAGTAATATTGATAGTATGATTGAGAAGCAGCCTTATCGCGCTGCCATCAGAGTCTGCCCCCTTAAGAGGGTGAATATACCGATGGCCTTCTGTGACGGAAATGTTGTAGACAAAAAATAAACCGGAAAACGTTTTTAAGTATCGCTAAACACGAATCGGAATTAATTCGGATATGAAGCACGCATGAAATAAATATATTATGTTGAAATGAAATGGGACGTACAGTCGGAGGGTTGAAGCACGATCCATGGCCCTCGGTTGTTGCATATCGTGTTTGAAAACAGAATATGTTAACCTTTGGGATATGTAAAAATAGCAGAAAGTCATTAGCGGACCACAATTTTCAAGCGTTGTGCATTGTAACACATGTACCGGCCAGATTGTAAAAGCAAATGACTTTAAATCCACTCGATTCCGCGTACATTGGCGTAATTAGGATTTATTGCTGAGGTGGTCAAGCCCTCCCACAGCTTTCACTATTTTTTGCTTTTAGTTCCATTGCACACTGCATTAAATTTATATTTACAGTTATAAATTTATATTTATAGTTTACAATTTATTTCTCATAAGAGGAGTGTAAGATTTTATTGAATATGTATGTTTCCATACAGAGTGATTCTCGTAATGTACTTTATTAGCCATCTTTGCCATTGTGGGATTTACAATTTTTACATATATTCCGACATAACAGCTAAAATAACATTCTCTGAGAAATAAAAATCTAGAATCAAATAGCGTGAACACATATTTTCACTTGATTATCGGTAAACCAGTACAAAAAAACGTCAGAAATTTATCGAGAAATGTTAGGAAAGTCAAGTATCCACCCCAGTCCAAGACGACAGATCATGTTTAGAAATAGTTATTGATAGATTTTTCATGTTATTAACCTGGAATATCTTGATACCTTAAAGTTAATTCAGTTCCCTCAAATTTTATCGAAGCGTCGAGTTCAGCCAAAGATATGCATTATAAGAGCAGGCTATTCATGTGACGTAATATCTACTAGAATAATCGAAGAGCTCGTCGTTCACTTGTAATCAGATTCAGGAAGTGTAATGGGAAACATTTCGAACATCACTTTAATTAAAACTTATTTTCAGAATATCTCGGTAAATAATAAGTCTAAACTCTATGTCGTCTAATATCGTTGTACCAAAAACTTCCAAATTCAGTAAGATATGTTTGGCTGTCCCTTTAAAAAAAATAAATGTTTCATTAAATAAAATTGCAGGAACTATAGAATAGGAGGTTCTACATTCTCATACAAAAATAAACTTTTTATATTGCTTTGATGAACTGATTAAAAGTAAATAACGTCATAATATATCCTTAAAATCGTTCGCGTAAAAATTTATATTCTTTCATTTTTTCAAGCTTTCAATAAATCTTAATTTAAGTGTCCTTTATGTGTTTAAAAATTGAATACTCGTTATACTATTAATAGTCGAAATATTCAATCATATAATCAAAAGCTTCTTCAAACGAGACATTTTTGTTACATAGTAACAAGAAAGTTTTATAGTTATAGAAATAATTTGCAATTAATCCGGAGGTGGCTTACAATATTTGTTTTCGAGAAATAGTCGTCCAAAGTGAGTAATTTAACTGATTTTTTGGTTAGTCGCGAATGACGAAAGAGAAAGACGTTAATAAAAAAATGTGACATCGATCCGCTCGTTGTATGAATGCGAAGTGGAAAGCTGAAATAATAACGAATTAAACGCTAATGATTTCAGGAATTGATTATAAGTTGAGCACGACTGCTTATCGCGAACGTTCTTAAGTAATTTCTATACTACTTAAATCTCGATTTACCTGCGCCAATGTCTACGTAGAGAACTCGTAATTTCTGATTCGTTTTCTCGGGAATGCTTATACAATTTTCACTGCAACAAGTTGTTAATATACTGTATCCGAGCATGCAATCGGATAATTAAATTAACGTCGAGAACGGTACCATCGACGGATAAATAGAAAAAGATTCTCGGTACCAATAGAATTGTTTGTAATTACTGTAATGCGCAAGTGTACAGCTTGCAGTTATGCTCGCAATCGTGGATATTCAAATAGTAAGTTGATCATAAAAAGTTTCAAAGGTATGTGCGTTCCTCGATAAGGATCTCCCTAAAAAAAAAAAACACGGTAGGACTGACCTACTTTGCTAAGTTCGTAATCGCTGACCGACCAATTGTAATTAGCTATTAGCCTACGTATGGAAACGTTATCAGAGTTACTCTAGTATAAATCGTTACGTATTAGCATAAATAAGTTCAAGGCCCATGCGAAAGCTTTATGTGAATGATGCATTAACTTACCTGCGACATGATTTTGTCAAATATACCGACAAGCTTTTTACGCGTCTGATATTTCTTATTCTAGCTGCTAATTAACGGGATAATGAAACAAACTAATACACTAATTTTGTTCAAACCATTTCAATTTACATTTACACGTGTTAAAAAATTGATCAAAGTACGCTTGATATTTAAGTTACAATTGCAGTTATAGTATAGCGTTTGTAGTATAGTATAGTAATTGTAGTAACAGTATAGCGTTTGTTGTATTCCTTGAAGTCTTCCGACGGGCAACCTGTGGCCGTCGAACTTTAAAGCAAGAAATTGCTTTTAATATTTGTCAGTTAGAGCCGAAGTCTTCTTTGAATCTATTCAATAATATTCCTACAAAAATAATAATGGCTACAACATATGTTAAATATAAATGTTAAATTTTAAGATTACATATTTAAGTAGAATGTAAGCTCGCAATTTATCAATACGTTTAATATAAAAATTGCGCTAGTTATGTGCATGTGTATGCGATTAATCTATACATATACATATGTATACATTTCCATGGTTTGCATTGAGACTAGTTGAATACTTACATCATTATCAGCGAATAATTGATCTGATCAAAATCAGGATGAGTTCGATTTCAGAAACTCTGCCAAAGTGTCCTCATGTTTTATCAAGAATGCCTCCATATCTGAATAATCTCCATCTGTAGGAAAAGACGGTATTTGTACTCTGTCATTTTCGTTCTTCTTTTTATTAAGTAATGAACGGGTTCTAAAGTCAAAAGGAGCAGTTAAACCTAGCATAGTTCTCTCAAATGATTCTCGCTCATTTAAAATTTCTTTCTGCTCATACGAATCAATTGTGTCACCCATGGATTGGTCGTAATAATCCATCCCCATCCGGAATGAAGGATATAGGAATGACCGTTTATAGGAATTGAACAATCTGTCGATCAATTCCGATTCGTCAGCTTCTTTAATTTCTGTTAATTCAGGTACCCAATCAAAGTTTTCATTGCGATGAAGATCGGGACGATCATTATTCGTATTCGTTTTCGAATCATCGGGAAAAACCAACACATCATCACAAACGACTATATCATCGTCAACGGGATGAACACCTTCTTCAGCAGAAGGTAATCGTTCATCGGAATTTTCATCTACGGTAGATTTTTCATCTACGGTGGATTTTTCGTCTACGGTGGATTTTTCATCTACGGTGGATTTTTCATCTACGGTGGATTTTTCGTCTACGGTAGATTTTTCATCTGCGGTGGATGTTTCATCTACGGTGGATGTTTCATCTACGGTGGATGTTTCATCTACGATGGATTTTTCATCTACGATGGATTTTTCATCTACGGTGGATTTTTCATCTTGCGAATCATTATCAGATCCGTGCGTCATCATCTGGGCATTTTGCAGCATTAACGAGAGCAGAAGATAATTTTCCAGAAACTCTTCTTTGCGTTCCAACTCTTCAAGTATCTTTGTACTCTCCGTCGGATCGGTTGCAGTTTCCGTTTGTTCAACAACTTCTATAGTCGAGTCCGAATTAACAATCGTAGTTACAGGATCTGTTGCCGCATTGTTAGTAGTACTTTCCGTATGTTCTTCGTTCATTTCGCTGTCTTTTGTCATAGCGACAGCGACGATGGTGGTTTCGTCAACCTCGGTAATCTTTTCTGGCCGCCCTGTTTCTGCTTGCAACACATTTTTTGTCTGCGTCGTAACGTCGTCGTCGGACTTCCAAGATGTCGCAGTGGTGCTAGTTTTATCGTATATCGAATGTTGCCCGAGTAAACTTCCCGATTCCGGTTCGCGAATGCTGTCCACGACCTTGACTTCCATCGATTCGATGCGATAAGTCTGCCATGTTGAGTAACAGGCCCATCCGACGAACAGTAACAGTTCTAAGTACAGTATCAGCTTCACGCATTCTATCAGCCGCTTGCAGACGCTACTCTTTCTCGTCGACTTCGAATCCGATGGAATTTCCCCACTGCAAATTGATCCTTCCTCCGCGCCTACGAGCTTATCTGATCGAAGTAAAATAATTTCATTTCAGTTGACTAAACGATTAACGGGTATTTATTCTAAACTCTGAGAAAAAATTTGGCACAATCATTTTAAATCTCTCCTTGAACCATGTTCTTTTAGCTAAAAAAGTTAATAAAAAATAATCACGCTTCGTGGTCCATCTTGTATAATTCGTAAATTTTACTTTATACTTTTTGAAATAATCAGGTTTTAATGAACCAAAATGCATTGTCCTAAAATATTTATAATCTACCTCGTGTTTATTAATCTCTTTTCTCATTATATATAAATATAATACATTTTGAAATTATGTCTTAATTAACTAAATAGAATTGTCTTGTACGATTAATAAATATCTATTGTAAGATATTTTTAGTATACGTAACATTCATTAATTATTTTCTTTAGTATATATAATATGTTATATTTTATACTTTTTGATTGATCGTTCTTTTTGATGGTATATTAATTCACTTGTGTATGATGGAATACAGAGGCAAAATTTCAAATTACTTTCCACGGAAACATGTCAAATATGAGAACAAAAGAAATGAACCTACCGTTACTCGTGCTCCAATGGTCCTTCATGATGAACGTTCAGCTATAAACTAACCGCAGCGGAGGAAACAACATTAAGTGGTAAACGCAAAAGTATGAATTAACCTCGACCTGACAAAGTTTAAAGTAAATATAAGTAAAAAGCTCGTCATACGTGATAAAACCAGCTTCTCCTACCACCACGTATTCGTCGCTATGAGGAAGATGTCTACG